CGGGTAGTGACTGTCCTCCCCACAGGCTCCCGCCCCCGGGGCTGGTGCCGACAGCTGCCTGGTGGTGCACGTGCTGAGCCCCGAGGAGGAGTCCCAGCAACAAAAGCTGGGCCTGCTTTGGTGGAAGCTGGATGAGCAGGCTCCTCTCGCACAGGTAGGGGGGGCATGGTGGGGCCTGCAAGCTGACTGGCTCAGTGGGGACACGGCTTTGGGGGAGACACGAGGCGTGGTGAATGGGGACGTGCAGCAGGTGCAGTCCTGGGAGAAGGCGGGGTCTGGAGAACAGAGGGGAACAGGTGTCCCGAGGGAGAGGGAGGCACTAAGCCTGATGGGAAAAGGCTGGGAGTCCGACCGGAATTCAGTGCCTTGCGGGTTTATTGCTGGAGAATCGCCAGCTGGCTCAGCCCCTGCTGCCCTCCCGACAGAAGCACCTGGTGTGTGGCCCAGTGAGAGCAGCCGGTGCGCCCAGCACCCTGACGGCGCCCGAGTACTACGAGTGAGTGAGGGGGGAGGCCTCCGGGGACATGGAAGTGGGGGCTCTGCCCGGGCCCTCCTCTCACTCTTTTCAAAATGCAGGCTCCGGCTCGCACAGGTGCGCGCGGCCTCAGCTCTGAAGCACAGCAGGGACCTGGCACAAGGTGCGCCTGGGTGGCTCCGGCTGCCGCCTGCCCGCCCCTGGCTCCTGCCTGCAGCCTGACTGCCACCCTCTACCCCCCAGACCCGGCCTGGACAGAAACCTTCAGGGTTCTCGCTGCGGCGACCATCAAGTTTGAGATGCTCAGCAAGGCCCCGCAGAGCCAGGTGAGCTGGGTGCCCACAGGACGGGCAGGGGGCAGGCTTGGCGGCCGCCCTCGCTCTGCAGCTGTGCCTTCCTCAGCTCCTCCTTGACCTGGCCGACAGCATTTCCACCAAGGGCACCAAGAGTGGCACCTTTGTCATGTACAACTGTGCCCGCCTCGCCACACTCTTTGAGGGTTACCAGCGCGGCGTGGAACAAGGTCTGTACCCCACTTTCCCACCTGTGAGCAGCCTGGATTTCTCTCTGCTCCGTGAAGAGGTGAGTGCCCCTCCCGGTAGTGGCTCCCTGGGGTGGCCTGGACTCGCCATCCAGCAGCCTTCTTCCCACAGGGTGAGTGGCTGCTGCTCTTCAACAGCGTCCTCCCCTTCCCAGACCTCCTGAGCCAGACCGCAGCCCTGGACGGGGCCCACCAAGCCCCGGGGCTCCACATCACTGCTCGCACGGAGATGGTGAGGCAGAGACCAGCAGACACACACTGTTTATTTGGGTCTGGGGTACAAGGGCAAAGGCAGGCCAGTGACTCCGTCTGTCTCTAGGTGTGCAAGTTCCTGGTGCAGCTCAGCATGGACTTCAGCTCTTACTATAACCGGGTACACATCCTGGGGGTAAGCGCACAGCAAGGGGGTGTGGGCGGTGCGGGGGAGGGAGCAAAGGACGAGACAGCAGGCCCTCTCTCTTTCTAGGAGCCTCGGCCACACCTGTTTGGTCAGATGTTTGCCCGGCTGCAGCTCCTGCGGGCTGTGCAGGAAGTGCTCCACACGGGCCTGGCCACGCTGGGTCTCCCTCCACTGAGCTACATCTAAGGCCACAGAGTGCCAATGTCTGGGAATGTTCACAAGGTCGTCACCTGAAAAAACCCCGTTGCTTAGACGTGGAGACTAATAAATCGCTACAAAGCTTTGTTCTAGTGCGAGGCGTGGGGCATGTTCTTGGTCTGCCTAGGCAGCACTCGACTCCCCTCCAACGCCTGCTCTAAAGTTGGGAGCCAGTGGCTCCCCACCCCCCACCACGCACGCCGGGCCTGGGCACAGACATCACTCCCACTCCCCTGCCTGTGGGCAGGCCCCACGCCCAGGTGCCAGCCACTGTGGGACACCTCAGTCGTACCAGTTGTAAACCTCAAGTCCCTGGCCCCCGAGAGCACAGCGGTGACCAAACTCCGGGCTCACGGGCCAGCAGTCCATGTCGGCCACGTCTGGCACGTGGTACACTGTGCTGTTGATGAAGGTGGGTTCGCCATGCCCTAGGCGCCAGAAGGTCAGCCGCTGATCGATGGAGGCGGAGACCATGAGGCTGGGGCTCAGGATGTGGAGGCCTGTCACATGAGCAGCGTGTGCACAGGGGACAGAGTGTTCCTCCAGCACGTGCAGCTGGGGTGCCAGCTCGGCACCCCCCACAGCCTCGTGCTGCTCTGGCAACTCCACAGCAAGCACGAAGACATGGAGGGAGCCATCCTCGCTGCCACTCGCCACCAGGTGGCCCTCGCGTGTGGGCAAGGTGTGCAGGCTGTTGACACCACAGCTGTGAGCCTGGACAGTCAGGCAGGGGGGGCCCAGCCCTGCTGCCGGTGGCCCGCCAGCTACTCACGAGAGGGCAGGCCAGGCTCTGCTGGAGGCTCCAGGGCAGCAGAGCCGTGGTCCAGCACCGTGGTCAGGTCCCAGAAGGCCAGGCTGCCATCGGTGGCCGCACTGCACAGGAGCAGTCTCCTGGGAGGCGGGGAAAGGTGGCTGGGTCAGTCGGGGCGACAGAAAGCAGCAAGGGCGCCCAGGGACCCCGGCAGAGCCACCATGCAGCCCTCTCACCGCCGCTGGTTGGGCGCCTGGTGTGTGAAGGAGTGGACCTTGAGGACACAGCGCTGGTGGTGGAAGGTTTCAGCCAGGAGCTGCAGCCGCCGCCCAGAGTCCTGCAAATGAAAGAGCCTAGGGCGGGGGGAGGGGCCAGCTCAGAACCCATTCTGGACAGCCCTTCATCCTACCTCCGGGCCCTACCTGAGCCCCTCGCTCTTACCTCACTGCTCCATCACTACAGGCTGCAGCCACAAGGGGGCCGAGGTCAGGCGGGTCAAGTTCACACACCGCTAGGCACATGTACCTGCAGAGGTAACAGCCGTCAAGCAGAGCCCTGCCTGACGCACCCCAGGCCCTGCCAGGCCGCACACATCACCTGGTCTCTGGGTCCACCTTGACCATCCGGCGCCGACTGCGCTGACAGTCCCAGTCCTCATCCAGCCGGTGAGACGCAAGGTGCGTCACGTGGCAGGCGAGGCGGCTGGGGGTGCTGGGGTCCAGGGTGACCATGATGTTGAAGCAGTGCATCTCCGCCCGGCCCCCCGCAGACACCACATGGGCAGTCAGGCCCGGGCAAGGATCCTGAGGGCCCGCTGGGGTGCCGACACCCCACACGGCCACGGCACGCACCGAGGAGATGTGGTTACAAACGGCTGTAAGCGCGTGGGCTGAGCCCGTCGCCGTGGGGAGCGCCAGGACGCAGATGGTGGTGTCCTCGCTGCACGTGATCACGACGTCAATCAGGCTGGGCCCCTCGCTGCCCGGCTCCAGGTCCTCGGGCTGCATGAAGCTGGGCAGCTCGAATTCAGGCCCCAGCGTGATGGTGCCCACCCGCCTGACACATGTGATCTCACGGCCATGCAGGCTCTCCCGGAGAATCACATGTGGCCGGGTGCAGCCCCCCAGAGCCCGGTACAGCAAGACATCGCCATCCTTGAGGTAGGCAAAGGCCATGGCTGCCTCGGTGTCCGAGAAGGCCCAGGAGCGATGGCCGCCGCCGCAGTGGACGACGTGTAGCTTCTCGTGCGACCGGGGGCTCCACACCACAAACTCGTTGGCATGGAAACCCAGGATGACCGTGTTCCCATCAGCCATCACACGCAGCCCGGCCACCCAGTTCATGCCGCGACAGCACTTCCGCCGCAGGACTGGCTGCAGCTGGCCACCTCGCACAAGGAGCTGGTAGTAGGCACCATCGCGCCCTGTGCTGTACACGTAGCCACCGTGGCAGGTGACCGAGGTCACACCCTGCTTCCCATGCAGGGACCGGAGGATGGAGACGGGGCCCCACTCAGTCAAGGCGGTCTCCTCCTCGCCACTGTCACCACCCCCTCCCAGTTCTCCGGCACCGGCCTCAGCCTGGCCTCCAAGCCCCAGATCCTGGAGCAGAGCCGGTCTGGAGGGGAACAGCAACACGGAGCCCCGCCGGTCTCCACACACCAGGAAGTCGCCCGGGGGCAGGAAGGCGCTGCACGTGTGCCATCTCTGCTTGCTTGGAGGCAGCAGGTACCGGCAGCGTTCCGTGACGAAGATGGCCTTGCCAGAGGGGGCGGCTGTGATCTCCAGGCAGGCCACCACGCCGCCGGGGCCCGACGCCAGCAGCAGCAGCTCCTCGTAGCCTCGCAGGGCCCAGCTCAGGCTGTGCACCTTGCCCGGGAACAGGGCCAGGTCCACGGCCGCCGTGGGAGTATTGATGGGGACCACCTTGATGTGGCCCTCCCCGTTGGCCATGGCACACAGTCCGAAGCCCTCAGGCCCGGGGGCGGCCTCCAGAAGGCAGTAGGACTGGAAGCGCGTGTCCTCCAGCAGTTGCTCCCAGCACTTGACCTCAAGGTCGTAGAGGTACAGGACCCCCGAATCAGTCACTGCCAATACTCGCCACGAGCCAGCCAGCGTCACAGCCTTGAGGGCACCTGGCCTGCTAGGGGACTTGAAGCAGAGAGCGGAGACCCCGGAACCTGGGTGCCCACGCCCTACCAGGTGCCACAGCCGGATGCCCGAGTCATCACCCCCCGTGATCACCCAGGCTTGCCTCTCGTGGGCAGCGAGGGCCCGGATCCCACGGCCCTGGTGGCCCCGGAATGCCTGGAGGATCTCACCTTCGTGGCTCCATACCAGGCAGACACAGTCCTCTCCTGCACTGACCAGGTAATTCTCTAGCAGCTTGACCTGCCACACCCGGGCACTGTGCCCAAAGCAGTGCCCAATATTCTGCACCCGACCCCCAGGCACCCGCAGGTCGCCCACCTTCCAGATGCGAACACTTCGGTCTTCTGAAGCGGTGGCCAGCAAGCCCTTGCTCTCCAGGTACGACATGCTGAAGACGGCGCCCATGTGCCCACTGACCCGCCGGTCAGGGGCCACGGGCTTACTGTCCACTAAAGCGGCCGCTGGGTACCAGATCAGGAGCTGGTTGGAAACGGCACCTGCCACTATGGTCAGCTCCTTCCAGGTGTCCCCGACCAGGCAGGCTGCGGAGAGGGTGCACCTGTCTGTGCAGGGGACGTCCTGCAGGAGGCACCCTATCACGGGGTCGTATAACACCACGGAGTTGTGGCCCAGCGCCAAGCCCATGTTCCCCTCGAGCCAGCGTGCATCCCAGATCCAGTCCGACATGTTCCACAGGCCCGAGCGCCAGAGCTCCCGGAAGCGGCCCTGTCCCCAGCTGATTTTCACGACTCGGAGACCCTTGCTCCCGAACACGGCGACCATGGCCTCCACGTCAAGGTCTCCTTTGGGTTCTGGTCGCACCCGGAACCCATGGATCAGATAGTGGCCAAGCAGGTTCTGCACTCGCTTCATCATCCGCAGGTGCCCCCCGAAATCCAGGCTGTAAACCAGGATATCCGGCCCCTCACCTGGACAGGAGCAAAGAGCCACATCAGGACGCTTCGCCTAACGCCGAGGAGCCACAAGAAGAGACGGGGCGGGGACTCTCCATCCTGGGGCCTGTGAACGTGCTGGACAGTCCTGCAGGCTCACCCAGACTCCTCCTCACCCCACCCGACTTCTCCTGCTTCCGACAGGAACCTCTCAGCTTTGGCCCCCACACCCTTAGCCTCACCTGCCTGTCCACGAATTCTCCCCCCTGCGCCCAACCCGGGGAGAGGCTTCCCACTAAGACAACCTTTGCACCTGGGGCCACAGCACATCCCTGACTTCCAGGAGTTTCTTCCCTGCACAGGGCGGCGGGTGGGGGGGCGCGCCACACTTTGGCAGGGGGCTCCTGTGGCCCTCAGCGGCCTCCTGGCTGCCTGCAGGCACCTCCCACACTGCTAGCTCCTCTACCACCCTCTGCCCAACCCCCACCCCCAACCAGGAAGCCCACAGCTCACTCTTCTCAACTGCCCACATCTGTCTCCAAGTGTGTGGAGTTCATTGGCTACAGTTTGCAAACCCCACCAGAGTGTCTTTGTCCAGAACATCACCTCTTAATCTGAAATGACCGTACCAGTCTCTCAAGCCATTCCTAGTCTGCACTCTCAATCTTTAGACAGTCAATAAAGTTACTGGGCACCAATTACAAACCAGACAACGAGCTGTGTGCTGGAGTAGTGGAAAGGCAAACCCAGACCTTGCTCTGTGGCAGTGGTTCCCAACGTGGGCACACGCCTCAGGGGGGCAATGTGATGTTTAAAGGGGGCAATTTGAGAATGAGTTAGTGAATTTTTTGCATTTCTTACGGCTCTAGGGGCGTCATATACAGTGTATAAATGTATATTGTGACATATTTATGAATTTCAGTTCTCATGTTTTGAAACTTTGCTATGTTTTCCTATCACTTCATATTATTTTTTTCAACAATTTCTTAGTGATTTCTTCCTCAGTACAACTGTCCTTCCCTTTATTTTTTTAAATATATTTTATTGATTTTTTACAGAGAGGAAGGGAGAGGGATAGAGAGTTAGAAACATCGATGAGACAGAAGCAACGAGCAGCTGCCTCCTGCACAGCCCCTACTGGGGATGTGTCCACAACCAAGGCACATGCCCTTGACCGGAATCGAACCTGGGACCCTTCAGTCCCCAGGCCGACACTCTATCCACTGAGCCAAACCGGCCAGGGCTGTCCTTCCTTCTTTTATTTCCCTCTTTCATGGATGCCATGTTATTTGGAAGCTTCTTTAGACCAAGTGAATGGCCTTTTAGGCTTCCTCCATGTGAATAGGAGCTCACTTTTTGAATAGTAAGAATTATATGTGGGGGGGATCAGGATTTTAGAGGTGCTTAGATGGGCGTGGCCAAAACAAGGCTGGGAACCACTGCTCTAGGAACTGAGCAGACACTACACAGCAGCACACAGGGAGCCATGCTATCATTTGGTGAGTCCCAGGGAAGACATATGCAGGCCGCTCTGAGAATTTAAAATGGTGAGTCTAGTCCAGTGGTTCTCCATGGGGGTGGACGGGACAACTTCCCTCAGGCCCTGCAATGTCGGGAGGCGTTCTGGATGGTCACAGTGTGCGTGACTGGCGTGGAGCCAGGGAGGCTGCGAGACACCCTGCGATGCAGGCAGCCGCTCACAAAGAATCATCTGATCCCACCCGTCCAGCGAGGACACGGACAGGAGACGGGTGAGCGTCCGGGAGGCCCCCTCGAGGGCACGACATCCCGGCGGCGGAATCTAAGGGGCAGCGGCCACTGAGCACGGCCACCGGGAAAGCAGGTGGCGCGCGGCGAGAAAAGAAACCGGCAGGGGAGGGCTCTGCCGTCCAGGCTCCAGCCCGGCCCGGTCCCGGTCCCAGTCCGGGTCCCGGAATCTGCTGGCCTATTTCCCGGCGCGGCCCGCGGAGGAGCGTGGACATGGATTCCCCGCACCCATCTC